AAAAATACATTGACCATGACATGATAGTGACCATGAAACGTCTCCGAATAATTGAGCTCTATTAGATTCTACTCGAGCAGTGTTGCTATCTACCTTCAGAATTGCTTGTCATTGGCAACTCTGGCTGGCTCTTGACTCATAATCCAACTTTAATGAATTCATGAAATCATTACCTTGGAACGACACAGATATCACAGACAAACAGACGTATCACTTAATTCTGGATCATCGTTCACGCATTTAACGATTGATTTGAATAATATCATTTGCGCGAACTTCTCACCGCATCGCTGGAATCGGAACACTTTGACATTTCTATATTTTCTGTTTAACTTGCATGCAACATTGTTAGCAAGCTTATTTTCCGCGAGAAGCCCGAGAGATGTCGTTACTGATGTCCTATATATTGAGGTACAATGTTTTCAAGAAAAACTTATTCAAAGAGCTACGTCTGTTTGTCTGTGCAGATACATTGGGTGTCATTTGATTCTACCCGATGTTGCCATCTAAAGGCATAAATTGGAGTAATTCATGGCTCACGACGCCCATTTCAACTTTGCTTAACATTTGATGTCTCTCTCTTGAAATGAAACCGAGATATCGAGCTCTGTTTGCTTCAAATCGAGCAGTGGTGCCATCTTTCGGTAGAATTCATGGCAACTCTGGCTGGCTCTTGGCACATTCTCGAACTTTGCTGAACATGCACATTCGCTATCTTGAAATGAAATTGAGTGTAATCGAGCAGTGTTACCATCAACTGGTAGAATTAAGAATCATTCATGGCAACCCTGGATGGTCATTGACTCATACTCTAACTTTGCTGAACTTTCGAAGTCATTACCGTGAAATAGTACAGAGATAATGAGCACTCTTTGATTTAACTCGAGCAGTGTTGCCATCTTATGGTAGAATTCAGTTTTGAACAAATCGGGTCCTGATTATTCTCCAAAAATTTTATCTTTAAAATTTTATTTTATAAGAAACTGGTTTGGCACAAATCCTATGAAGTTTATATGGAGTTTGCTATGGGAAACTCAAATTTGTTGTTCATATCTATCTAACAATTCACCATATCACTCTGCTCTGAAAAATGATAGCTGTAAGAACTTTGTAAGAAAGCTACAACTTAGTTCGAACCATACTTTTCGATAAAATTTTAGGAACAAAAGTTATTCATGTTTCAAGCCACTGATGTTTTGTGATTATGCTCAATCAACTGTTCAGCAGGCAACATTGGTGTTTCTGTCGCATAGAATAGAGTACATATCTAGATGGAGCTGGAATTTGGGAGTAACAACTTTTGTAAACAATGACTTCTATCGATGATTTCTAGGATTTTAAGGCACGCCCACGCAAACCAACATAACCATCGGGTAGCGGAAGCCTTCTCCTACCCGTTGAGGATGTTGGTTTGCATGGGCGAGCCTTGATTTTCTAGAAATCATCGAGAGAAGTCATTGTTTACAAAATTCCAGCTCTATCTAGATATGTACTTCATGGCTTTTATGTCACACTGCAGAATACAGTGTTGCCAACAAAACAGCTGCTTGATCCTGCCATAAGATCAGAGTCACGTCCACCGTCCAGGTACTATGGTCTCATAGAACTTTTTGAATAATTTTGGAATCGTGAACTGGTTCCGAGGAGATGTATAGCTGGAACATGTTCTGGTTTGTAAATGCCCTAATAAAAAAAACATAAACAAACGATAACCCAAATGATTGAACTATTCCACAAATAGTTTGGATGATACTCAGAACACGTCGGTTAGTAAATTAACCATAGCATTTTTATTAGGGTGCCATGAAACTAAATGCGGCCTGAAATGAGTAAAACCCATCATGTGACACATTAAATTACATAAACCAGTTAAATGGTAGTAATTATCACAGCACAGGACCATACTGGTCACATTCGGTCATGATCCGGGAGCTCCTGGCCCCAGCTTCTATGCTAAGGGCTAAAATTCATCATGCGTTACCTTAACCGATTCGATCACACATATATGACATAAAATAGTCTGTCAAAAATCACTGTTTGCAGAAAATCACAAAGTTTCTTCAGTAGTATTGTTGAAAAATACTTCAATTATTCAGAAAAATATAAACTGGGATATTCATGAACTCTTTGACGGTCTGAATCTCCAAAACCGCAGGAAATAATACACCATAAATTTGCAGAATTTTCTTCAAATAACAAGCCTATAAGTTGTAACAGTAAGTCCGAAAAGACATATGTCAACACAGGACACACGTGGTAATAAAACATATCCAGATCATCTTGAAGATTCAGTCTTGGAGATCTACAGGTTCAAATAAGTATTATATGTTGTCCCTAATTGTACACAATATCCCGATCGTATTTTCAAACTCCTAGAGTTTCATTAACCCCCAAGAGCATTCTGCAGAATACATTGTTATGTTGACAAAATATCTCTGGCTCTTCAAATCATCCTGAAGTTTAGTTCTTCAAGTTCTAGAGGCTCAACAGTGATTTGTATGATGAACCAACCAATTTTTTTCTAACGCAACCCGCATTATAGAGCCCCGTTACATCATGTGAGGCATATAACCATAGAGGTAACTCTAAAACTAGTAGGTTCCGAAGAAAAGTGCTCAACTTTTTGGCTCAGCTCTGGTACTATCTTCGGTCCCACGCTAATCGATTCACTCCTCGAAACATAGGAAAATCCACTAACCCCTCATTTTATCTGTCAAACTTTCATAGCGAATCAAAACAAACATAGTGTAGAACTAGAATTTATACTAGAATGGGGTACGTAATCGATTTGCTTGGGACCAATAGGCTAGTCAAGTAGTGAGCCAATTTAAAATCGGTAGTTTCGTATTGATTGTTGATATAACGGTGTTAACAAAATATGTTTCATTCTCCTCCAGATTCAACGAGATATAGGGCGAAGTTTTGACTAACTTTGTGAACCCAGAAAGCTTGATAGAGCCCCATTACATAATGCGGGATATGTAGTTGTAATGACTACTTATTTAGACGTCTCCAAGTTTTCCTGAGGATTTTGTCAGGATATTCTACAGGCTCAACAAAATGTTGCTTGATGTCCAGATGAATTCTACAAATCCATGAGGCTCCGTGCAACTTCATCAGATCAAGAGTGATAAGAAGTTGTATTAGCAAAATATATTCCATGTCCTTAATTACCGTGCATTTCAGATCATGACATTCCTCAGATTCATCAAGGTATTGTACGATTTCTCCACTAAATTTGCAAAACCAAAAAGCTTCGAAGAGCCGCTACAACTGTTGTTTATTAATTCATTTGATAAGGCTCAATCGAATTTACTTTACAGAGCCGAGGATTCTTGTTCACTATACAATACATCTTAAAACTATAGTCAAAATATACAACACAATAACTACTTTATCTTCCGCTATCCAATAAGCCTCCTCCGTTAGAACGGGAGCCGCTTCCAGTAGTTTTATTGTATAGCAGTATTGCCAACGAAGGGCAGAGCGCTTCCATTGTAGTAATGGGTGCAAAACGTGGTCAGCACTCACACATTCATCACGAAACGGTTGCTTTCCAAAGTGCATGCATCGCCCGAAAGAACTGCTGATGAAGAACAATGGGGAGGACCACACAATAGTTGCTGCCGAGTAAACAGACGATCGCGTGACACACATTGAGAGTTGCCTGCTTCTGTCGACAGCCGAGTGAACGCTGAGAGCCGCACTACATACTGCGGAATATGCAGTTGTAATGAAACAATAATTTGCGTTCTCCAAGTTATGTTAGCTTGATATTTTGAAGCTTTAGAAATTCCATCGAATGGTAGTAGTTTGTTTTTCAAAAATATATCATGCATGATGAAATAACTTCTCACATTGATCTACAAAATGGAATGGTACGTTTGAACGTCATAAAAGACTTCGATGAGCCTGTAGAGCATGAAGATCTTACAGGAATCCCCTGGGGGCGTGGTGGGTGATACCGAATTGCGTTTGTTTTGAAAATCTTCGCTGTCACGTACGAGCGAAATCATCAAATGAGTTCATTATACATCAATGAATACGCGTTTGTTGATATTCACCAGTGCTTCATTATCCAACCCAAAATTGTCAAAATCGGAAGCTATCATCAAAAGCAAATCAATTTAATTTTGTCTAATGACTATTTTGAATATTGTTGACCCCAGCGTCTAAAACCTTGATATTATTATAAATTCAGCATGAAGCAAACATTTCCCATCGTTCTGTCTGTAAAAAACCAACACTCTATTTGTGAAAATATTCATTTTGTTAGTTATCCTCAAAATCATCCCTACCAAGATTTAGACACATTCTAGTTTACCGAACATCCGGGATTGATATTTCGGTATCCAGTCATTTTATTTAATGAAAAAGAAAGGATTCAACCGCAAATTATTTTTCAACCGAACAGTCTTACGACCTTCCAATAATGGTCGTAAAATGAGGTTGAAGTGTAAATCCAGCATTCTGATGAGCATTCCATTTGACACTCCAAGGAGGCTCAGAAAAGAACCGACGCTTTCCAAGTTTTGCATCCAATGTTCCATTCGAAATGCCGAGAAAAACATCATCTGCGACTATGAAGACTATCTCATATGAGATTCTGACGGTGTAAATATTTCTAAATGTCTACCTATCGTAAATATGTTATTCACGAGGTCAAAAGTACACACTTAGAAATAACTAATTTTACACGTGACGGAATCCGTCTTTGCCATAAAAGATGAGACGTAAACAAACATGTCATGTAATATTAAGTGCTCCAAGACTGAAAAGTTCGTTGCTCGACGAAAAGTACGTTTGATTGAGCTATATTTTGCGTCTCTAATGACTAAAATTTATGACAAAATTGACGCTCGTATATGTCACTCTCAGAGCACCTAAATTTACATGTGTTTTTCTAAGTGTGTATATGCCCAAAAGATAGATTCAACAGTCACACAGTACCTTCCATACCAAATAAGCATTCATCTTCCCCGAATTCATTTTTTTATATGTCCGTATAATATTATCTAAATAATAATCTCGACCGTAATGCTTCACCTTTAAATGCTTGTCGGCCACCCAACATTTCCTAAAACAAAACATTTGGTTCATCGAAATTCCTAGCAAGCATTGCAAGCTCTCTCTTCCCCCCTCCCCATCCACCAACTAGCTACATAGTTACGGTAGTCACTCCAACCTCAACTCCCCCTCCCTAAACATATGCCCCACGATTCCGGGTGTCCTTTCCCTGCAGCCTTTCGGCAAACTGTCTCCAGCTAATCACAGTCTTGCCGGACCACAGCCACACGCTGGACGTGACTCCGACCAGCATCGAGCACACGTACTTGACCATGTAGATGTGGAAAATGGGCTTCTCCTCGTCCGGAGCCATCATGCCGGCGCCGTGCTTCATCGAACCTCCCGCCATCGTCGTCGTCGGGCAGGGGATGGAGAAAATCTTGCACATCTGCCGGTTCCACTGGATCATCCAATCGTCAAAGTTGTAGTACTCGTAGAACAAACAGCCCAAATATCCCAACGCTGGCAGGATAAACAGGCCGCTGAAGAATCCAATCCGTAGCATCAACCGTTCCAACTTGTCCGTTCGGGTGCCGTCGTGCTTCATCACCGTGCGGATGCGGAAGAGGGAAATGAATCCGGCCAGCAGAAATAGGGCTCCAATCGAGAGGTAGATGCACAGGGGAATCAGCAGAAATACGGCCAACGAGTGCGTGTCCAGCTGTCCGACGAAGCACACCCCGGACAGGACGTCACCTGCGGAAGAGAAGAACGAGAGATAAAGGTTAACACAATTACTTATTCAACCAACCAACCCCCCCCCCCAGATAACCCCCATGACAAAAGGTGAGAGTGCGCATCACTAGGCTCGCTCGCAAGCTCGCCGTCGTCGTCGTTGGAAAAGGGCATAAAAATCATAATTAAATTATTGAAGAATTTCCGTTATGCATGCGCTTTGCTTCATCTTCTGGCACATCACGGCGAACATCGTTTATTGTAGCATCGCGTCCCCTCCGTAGCCGCGTTGCTCATTTCCTTTTAAGGGTAAGATTGAGATCTAGTCATGTTCCCAAGAGTTGTTCAACTGTTGTGAGGGAAGCAAGGCTGGAACGAAGCAAGGGTGTGTATTACAACAGCAATAGGGACGCGAGGAAATGAAGAAGACTAAGAAGAAGAGTAAGACTAAGGTGGCACGCTTTTCCATTAATGGTGCCAACATTAAAAGGGTGCACAACGCAGCAGCACGGGTAAGAGAGGGAGCGTGCTCAGAATGTGTGTACGTAAGAAGACATGGAATGAGTCCCAAGGCGGGTGGGTCGAAGACAGGTGTTGACGATGTGCTACAAGCGCATTATGATCATTGAGAAAAATTATGCGCGGGAGATGATTTCTGCGATAGGCGGGGATAATTGAGAATAATTTAAACAACATTCAAATTGCAAGAAGTTATGTGTATTATCATGTACATTTACTTCAAATCTTGGGTTTAATTTGTACTGTAGGAGAAGTTTATGAATATTACAGCGATTCAAAGCACACACATAGTAAGCGCGATATTTAGCACAGGCTTGCACGATAATTCATGGAAATTTACTCCACACTACGTGGAATTGACAACGCTGCATGCAACTTGCTTACAAACTTGTAAATAATTACATCGCAGTTGGGTATTCTTGCCCCAGGATGGTTTTTTTTTTTGCCCGTACTCCTTTATTCGGATTCCTAGATGATTGAGCTTCGTCAGCTGGAATGCTGACCGGATATGCTATACTTTTCGGCGAAATAACGGCATCCAAGAATCCGGAAAAAATAATACGGACGAAAAAACCATTCGGGAATCAGGATTCCTCATTGTATTTGTGCTTAGTTTCACCCAAAATTTCACAAGGGAGATTTCACGCCAAATCAAAACGAACAGTTTTCTGCATGCATGTGCTGAATTATGAGCTTTTGAGATGTTTTCTTCTTGAACCTCGAGAACTTTTTATTTATGCTCTCTCAAAAAATGTGCAATTTGTTGCCATTTTTTTATAATCGCTAGTAGAAGGTCTCACCAAAACTGCTCAATTATATGACTAATTGTAACACAGGCTAGCTCTAATATTACATAGAATTTTTTGTTTTTTTTTTTCAAAAGCAACCGTAAATATCCATTAGTAGAGGACGAAAACCAAAACTAATAAACATTTTCGGGATAAATAAAGTGATTATTGATCGGTAGAGCACTTTCCCTAATTACTTGATTTTCAGGAAATCTTCTTTTCATTTGATGATATTTTATCATGAACCAAAAACAGTCTATGATGCAAGAGAAAAATCAGGCGGGGTAAAGCTGGCTAGCCCTAGGGGTAAGACGTCCACACGACATAGCATATGATCCTGGACATATAAAAGGTTACTGTCTTCAGCAATGTTGTACAGTGGGTCAAGGTCGATTGGTTAGATGACAGTAGCTCAGAATTTTCTCACTAGGCGGTACTAATGTGTTTTTCAAGACTTCAGGATGACCAGGTTTTATTCCGAACATCTAGATCTATCCAATAATTCAAGTCATGTTTCTCACGTATATCTTTCACACCAGGTTGCTCAGAAATTATTTCAAGAACCTTCAGGATATCAAAGATCTTAAAGAAATCATCTGAATATTTTTTCAAGACTTCTGTATGAACAGGCATTATTTTGAAGATCTAGAACTGTCCAGTAATTAAAATCCCGTCTTCCAGATTTTCTTTGATGACACCAGGTTGCCCATAAATAATTCCAAAGTCCTGCATGCAAAAGATCATAATGACAGCCTCTGGATATTTTTCAAGATGTCAGGATGAACAGGCATTATTATGAAGGTAAAGAATTGCCCAAAAATTACGTCTCAGATATTTCTGAGCTAAGAGAAACCCCAAAACAGGAGGCAGGGAACAGCGAAAATATTTTAATCATGAAATACCATAGAACTTACTAGAACATTCTCGAAGAACAGAGATGATCAAGATTCCTTGCGAAAGAAGGCGTGATCAGAGATTTTATGCCTCAGAAAATCCCGACGGCGCCGACTGGGATTGAACCCAGGCCCATTGGAGTGAGGAGACGCTTACTACTACACCATCGGTGCCACTACAGCCGGTAATTTGATGTTCATCGCTTCATGTCTCTGATTCTATGTCCGCAATGTGACGTACTGATGCAATTGACTTACCTACGTCAATTGAAGAGCGGGATATCTATATGTACGAGAAGTTTACTACCATTCCTTTCGGTGAATGTAACGAAGGGGCCAATTCCTAAGCGCTCCCTGTTTTGTATAGGTTAATTAGATGACGGACATTCTAAATTATAATTACTCTTCTTCATTCCTCTATCGATTACTTTACTAGTAGAATATAGCCACACAACACGTTTAGCATATTTCATTTATCCATCAAGTTCTACATCTCAACATCTATTACTTCTGGCTTAACTCTCAACAGCCGATAACGGCAAAGCAATTTGAATACACATGCGATTAAGAAATTAAGACAGAATGCAATCGATATGACGAAAAAAACTTGATTCGTGTTGTCTTTGGGAAAAATTACAGTCATATCAATAGAGCGAAATTTCCTACTAAACCACGGTTATCACTCTGTTTTGATGTTAAAATCTATTAAAATGAAAATGACAGGCTACACTCCAAGGTGTAATTTCCAACCAAATACCAAGTCATCTTCGAGAAGAATGTTGCTGCCTTGTCTTGTGTCGGTTGCACTCGTTAAACCAGTAGTGTTGGCAATCTGAGCCCGCCCAAGCAAACCAAACTGGCTAAACTGCGCCGTGAAGTGGATGTGCACCGGAAGCGGGTGCGTCGGATGAACCTATCTGCTAAAAGCATTGTGTGCTGGCGCAAGAATCACCCGACTGCACGTTTGGTACAGTATTTCTGCTCTGGGAGTACTCGTAGGCAATCAATTACGTAAACGTATGAATCCCCACGGCCATCCCAAGTAACATTTTAAGTTTTATGAAATACTACAAAGCAACTATAAAACAACATTCATAAAACCCTGGTCAAGGCTATTTTGTCATTAATGCATCCACCAAAACCTCATTAAGACTAGAATATGTCTAGTTGGCCCATCCTGGAGAAGGTTCTGAAGGGTGTATTCTCGAGGCTCTTCAAGATTGATTTACTGCAAAAGGTTGTATGACGAACGTATTGGGAGGCATTTGACAGCTACAATAAAACCTATTTTGCAACAATAAAAACCCTTTCCGAGCCATTTACCCTTGCCGCATGCCGTCTTCACTAAGAAAGCATCAATCAAGATAGAAAAGGATTTATGATCGGATTCATAATCAAAATAATTAAAATAGAAACTGATGGTATAAAAATCTTGTTGAATATCCAAATTGATTACAATAGTTCTCATTAAGTGGCCTAGTTTTAAGTGCCATATTAAATTTGATGAGAAAAGTACGTCAAAACATCGAAACAATTAAGTCCACCCTCGTAAAACGTCGAGTTGACTAATTATTTAACATTGAAAAAAAAAAGAATATATTCTTCAGATCGAGCTTTGTCGAGATTTTTTTTAATTATTTTCGCATTAAAATGTTTGCTCATTGCTAAATTTACCAAAATATAGTTATATCTCATGAAATTGCCCCGTAACGTGGGTAGATCACCTTTTCGTGGTACGTTACGGGATGTAAGATATACCACCGATTCCTAGTCCTGACTACTTAAAACTAGGGGAACAGAATTTTTCAGTAATCCAAGGAACACATCTTAGTCCTTGTTATTTTTTATGCCTTGTTGATAGTGACAAGACTTGGTTTTGTCCACCGAGGATGATCTTGAAACAAAGAAAAAATGAGTCAAGGGAAATGTTGACTTCGGCAATACCTTAACCTATTATCGTCAGGGAGTAAACAAAGTCCTAGAGCACTCAAATTTGGCCAATAGATGCTCTGAAACACTATGTATCCACATGTCAAAATTGAGCTCCCAAGGACGTTGTTTACCCCCCTGACGATAATAGGTTAAGGTATTGCCGAAGCCAACATTTCCCCTAGTTAGTCTTCATCTATGTGATTCCTAAATTTCTATTCGTTGTTCCCTAGTTTGAAGTGGTTAAGACTAGGGTTCTGATGCATGGTCATTATCGGTGTCATACCTTAATTTTGTTGCTAAGGAATCCAATTTTGACTGACAAAGGGGCGCGCCTTTGGAGGGTGTTTCAACACTCCGAAGGAAATAAATAGCGGGACCCTTCAATTAGAGTCGGATCCTAGCGATAAATGCGTGAATGACAACTGTAAAAAAATCGAATACTTCATCATTTCTCAATAGTGATGGAGTAATACGACATGCACTAAACTAAGGACTCGGGATTTACTACAATAGATCAAATTACTGGTCGCAGCGGTGTTAGGTCCCGAACAGAGAAAAAAAAGGAAATAATGATTGAAAATCGAAGATTGTAAAAAAAAACAAGCAAACTAATTGTAACATGGCGGTGGCATAAAAGTTGATTTTCATGGGCCAGTTTGAAAAAGTTGTTTTGCTTTCAAGAATTCCTTAACTAATTAATAAGGTTTTAAAATGGCTTTTATGAAGAAAACTTGCAGGCTGAATTGTAGTTATCTAAAGCCATTTTGCTTGATCCTAACCCGTTCAGATTTATGGCAGCATTTATGGAGGCAAAGTTGCCTGCAAAAAGTTAAACGTCAAAGTTTGTTTATCTTTCGATAGTTGCGCTGTGGCATCCAGGGTTCTTCCA